ATTAAGGGGAAGCAATTTTTGTTTGTTGTTTATACCCTGAAGAATAACATCTGGGAGAAAAAAGTAGAATTAAATATTTAGCTTTAACAGATATACCTAATTTCACTGTGGCTTCAATAATTAGTTTTTCAAATCAGATTTAAAAGGAATGCCTCTTGTTCTCAGAAGCAGAACATGTCAGATAAATATAAAATACAGTCTGTGAACACATTCTTCAGAAACAAAGAGTACTTCAGTGAAACGAAAATTCTTATTCTTGTTGAGTGGCTAGGAAAGAACCTTCCAAACTCTGCACTTACCACACAGTGGCAGAACTCGAGGATGGGAGGATAGCTCACTACACCCCCTGGTGGTCACATCAAAATATTTATAAACAGCCGAAAATTTTCTGGATCAGAAGAGCAACCCATATGGAGAAAGGTGGAGATTCAGACTTCAGACAGACCAAAAGCAAAAGACGTAGAGCTTCACTATCATCAGTTAGAGCTTGTTTTTAACACATGGGAAAGCTTTGCTTTTATAAATCAATCAATCACACACACGCACATATTCTAAGTTCAAGAAAAGGTTTCTCTGTGAAATAATATAATTTTATTTCTTAAAACAGAAAAGTGACGTGATGGGGGCATCTTACTATCAAATGGCTCAGAAAATAAAAAGTTCTTTGCACTGTATCAACAATTTTTCTATAAGTATGAGACTGTTTCAAAATTTTAAAATATATATGTGCTGTGTGCTAAGTCACTCCAGTTGTGTCCGACTCTTTGCAACCCTATGGACTGTAGCCCACCAGGTTCCTCTGTCCATGGGATACTCCAGGCAAGAACACTGGAGAGGGTTGCCATGCCCTCCCCCAGGGCATCTTCCTGACCCAGGAATCAAACTTACATCTGTTACATCTCCTCCATTGGCAGGTGGGTTCTTTACCAAGGGCTTCCCTTGTGGCTCAGCTGGTAAAGAAGCCGCCTACAATGCAGGAGTCCTGGGTTCGATCCCTAGGTTGGGAAGATCCCCTGGAGAAGGGAAAGGCTACGCAATCCAGTATTCTGGCCTGGAGAACTCCATGGACTGTATAATCCATGGAGTTGCAAAGAGTCAGATATGACTGAGTGACTTTGGACTTCACTTGGCTCAGCTGGTAAAGAAGCCGCCTGCAATGTGGGAGACCTGGGTTTGATACCTGGGTTGGGAAGATCCCCTGGAGAAGGGAAAGGCTACGCAATCCAGTATTCTGGCCTGGAGAATTCCATGAACTGTATAGTCCACGGGGTTGCAAAGAGTCAGACGTGACTGAGTGACTATCACTTTCACTTCTTTACCAATAGTGTCACCTGGGAAGCCCCCCTCCCAAAATATACATATGAGGATAAATTAATAGTTCATATTTACAATAGACTTTTCCTCTTTACCACCTTTTTTTTTCACTTTAAGTATAATGCTCTTATTTTCTAAGTTAACAAATTCTTTAACTAGAACACACACTCAGGTAGAAGTACACCTGTTTCCTTTCCACAGCAAAAGATGGGCAATTTAGTATTTATTGTCACTATGATATTTAAATCCACACATAAATTATTTCACTAAGCAGGCTGAAATGAAGTCATATCTCAAAAGTAAAAAAGAAACAGCCCAAAGGCAAGAGAAGGAAAACTTGATGAGGTACCAGAGACAGAGACGTGGAAGAAAGATGTGTCTACAAAATGAATGCATTAGTAACATGGTACCATGTGAAATTAGGGCTTCCCTCATAGTTTAGTTGGTAAAGAATCCACCTGCAATGCAAAAATGTGCCTGCAATGTAGGAGACTTGGGTTTGATTCCTGGGTCAGGAAGATCCCCTGGAGAAAGAAATGGCAACCCACTTCAGTATTCTTGCCTGAAAAATGCCATAGACAGAGAAGCCTGGTGGGCAGTCACAAAGAGTCGGACACGATTTAGTAACTAAACCACCACCATTTGAAATTACACCTTAAATTCTATGTTTTCTTTCAGCCCTCTTTAAGCTATTTCCACTTGACTATTACCCTGTTGTTTCACATGCGCAAAGGTGAACTCTTTCGTTTTCAACTACACCATTTCTAGTAAAGATATCAACCAATCTTCTATTCCTGTTCATTCATTTAATGAGCATTTATTGAGTGCCAACTACAGGCTAATTGCTGCAGATGCTGAGATAAAAGACAGTTTCTGTCTTCACGCTGCTATCAGTTAGGGAGGTGACTGCCCACCTCTAGCCATCTGCCTGCAACGGCTTTCTAGCTCATTCTCCTGCCTCCTCATACTGCATAACACTGCCAGACTCTTATCCAGCAGTCATGCATTCTTTTAGACAAAGATCTACCAAATCAAAGTTGTTCCACTCTTAAGATATGAATGATGGTCTTCTTATTGCCCTTGGAACACATTAGTGCCTACTTCCATACTTCTGGGCATATCTTCCCACCTCCCCATCCTCCTGTGTATGGAACGCTCTTCTGTTCTCCTACCTACCCCATTTATCCAAGACCCAGAACTTACTGGATATTTTCTGATAGATATTCCTCTGGCCCACACTACTTGCTCTCTCTCTCTCTCTTCCTCACCTGCTACAAAACTTTCATTGCTAGGTTTGAAGTAGCAAACCTACTTACTTACAGTTGATATATACAGAAATTGGAGAATTCTACTATAATTAAAATATTTTCTAAATTTAGATCTAAGGTACTTTATTTCCTCCCACAACTAATTATCTTAAAAAAGGTATCTTGGGATTTCAAAGATTTATTTCAATGGTATCTTCCTTTTGCTCACTTTTATTTATTACCTTTGAGGTTCCCAGGTGGCACTAGTGGAAAAGAAAGAAAGTGAATTCGCTCAGTCATGTCCTACTCTTTGCGGACCCCATGGACTGTAGCCTACCAGGCTCCTCTGTCCATGGGATTTTCCAGGCAAGAATACTGGAGTGGGGTGCCATTTCCTACTCCAGGGGATCTTCCCGACCTGGGTCTCCCACACTGCAGGCAGATGCTTTACCTTCTGAGCCACCAGGGAAGCCCCAGTGGAAAAGAATCTGCCTGTAATGCAGCAGACACAGGTTTGATCTCTGCATCAGGAAGATCCGCTGGAGGAGGACATGGCACCCCACTCTGGTATTCTTGCCTGGAAAATCCTATGGACAAGGGAACCTGGCGGGCTACAGTCCACAGGGTCACAAACAGTCAGACACAACTGAGAATATTTATTACCTTGAAATTTTATTAGGCTGACTCATGAGACAGCCATTTGGAAGTCAAAACGGCTGAATATTGGCATGTTACATGGCTTTGTTTATTCTCCAGTCAGCAAAGTGGGTCAGGACATAAGAAGATGAAAAGCATTCAATGTATGACAAAAACCACTGCAATGATGTAAAGTAATTAGCCTCCAACTAATAAAAATAAATGGAAAAAAAAAAAGAAGATGAAAAGCAGTGAGTTCATAAATATGTAAAAGGAAAAACTGGAACTGAATTTCATCCATTTATATTTTTACCAAAAAGGTAATAATACATAACCTGATTTTCAGTTCCAGAACTGTGTTATGATATTTTTATGCCTATCTTCTGTGAAAGACAACATATCACCAGAATTAGCTATCATAAAAAGGACTTAGTGGGTAGGAATAGATCAGTTGTTTTTTAAATATGGTAAACTACATATAACATAGAACTTGCCTTCTTAACTATTTTTAAACGTACAGGGGATTAAGTAATTCACACTGTTGTGCAACTAACACTACCATCCATCTCAAGAACTTTTTCTCCTCCAAATATGAAACTTTGTACCCATTAAGCAATAATTCCTCATCCATCCTCTACCAGACCCTGGCAACCAACATTCTACTTTTCATCTCTGAGAATCTGACTACCTTAGGTATCTCAGATAGGTGGAATCATACAGTATGTGTCTTTTTGGGACTGGGTTTTTTCACTTAGCATAATGTCCTCAAGTAAGTTGATTAAAAAAATTTTATTTCACAGACATTTAAACAAATATTTTTAAAAGGCACTTATTTCATACAAAAGATATACTGTATTGGGTCACAGTATAATAATGTACTTATAACAAGAAAGAAAGTAGAATTCTATGCAATCTTGAGAAACTAAAATATCATATAAAATATAGTTTGTTGCATTACAACATTGACAGTGCTACAGACTTTCAAATTTTTAAGGATTTCAGTGAACTATTATTAAATCTTTAATATAACCATAAAAAGCATTTTAAAGAAGATAACAGAAATGTTATTATATACATCCTAGATATCTCTCATAATTCTTTTCTTTTAATCCCAGCAAGTATTGGTATCCTTATAACATGCCCACTATTTCATGAGAGGGCAAAAAAAAGTTTCACTGTATTTTAAAAGACTGGGTAAGCTACTTAGCGGAGGAGGGCATGGCCACCCGCCCCACCTGCTCAGAGAATTTCCTTGACAGAGGAACCGGGCGGGCTATGGCCCAAAGGGCTGCAAAGAGTCAGACACAACTGAACCGATCGAGCGCGCACACACAAGCTAGTTAGTGTATCCTTCATATTAACCGATCTCTAAAAAACCACCAAACCCATCTAAATGAATGACAAACAGAAGGACAGAACTGAAGGCTGAAATGTTCTTTAGTTAGGTAAGGAAAATTTGCTTTTTCATTACCTAAGATAGTTTTACAGACTTGGGTCAAAGCTAGGCCAGTACTGGCCTTTCTGGTTAAAAAAATAAAAAAGAGAAGTCTACTATTTAATTAATTAGTTAATTTATATATTGAGGTATACGTGACATACGATAATTACATTAGTTTCATGTGTACAACATAATGCAATCCACCACTTAAAATCTGAGTCAGTAACGGGATTCTTAAAGCAATTCCATTTTGAGACACCAACTAAGCATCTTGGAAAACCAGGACAAAATCATCTGACAAGACTGAGAAAGAATTAGAGAAAAAGCACTATAGAAATGCTATAGGATGTAATGAACAAACATACCTCCTGGGCTGTGATCGGCATTCCTCCTCCCCACTGTCTGCCTCCTGTAGAGAGAGGAAAATGAGAAAAAAATTACTTAAAATCTGAGGTACCAACGAATGCAGTTTTATTAAGTTTTACATGTAGGGAGTATCTCATTGATGGTGTGTACTTAAACTAAATTCTCTCCATAAAAAGTGACTTCAACCAACCCACTCGGTTGATATAATATATATCAACAGAATGTATTCCTGGAGGAAACTTTAACAATAGCCTACAAATTTTTTAATAACAAAGTATTCATAATGAAAAGAATATCTCTGAAAACTAACTGGAGATGTTATGTTACTGTTACTTTCAATTAAAATGAGTGGGCATTCTGACTTTCACCAACAAATCTCATCGAGGTGACCTATTAACGATCCTGATCCCCAAAGAACAGCCTAAATAATGAACACCATTTTGAAAAGTTCTCTTGATCACAACACCATCACCTTAATGAACTATTACTTACTGAATATTTATAACATTCCAGGTGCCTTGCTCAATACTTTTAAGTACATTGTCCCTTATAAACTGAGAAGGTTGATCGTACCCTAGTTTTCACCAATTCTGACGCATACACATAAATCTACAATCAATGCAACTAAAAAGCAATGAATCATCATTTAATCACAATATTTATATTTTATAGTGGCACATGAAATAATTGAGGTGTCATACTTATAGCAATTTAGGCTCAATGAAATATGAATATTTTATAGACACTGAAATTCACAAAAAGGAAAGAAGTTGCTCAAGGAAACTCATGTGGTAAGCTAGAATTAAAACTGATAAAATACTGCCTCCCAACACATTGAAAAAGGATATCATTCACTCTGACTTAGGTTAGGAATTATTATATGTTAAGATATTATATAGATCTTCATGGAGACAAGAATAGCAACATGAAGAAGCGTGAGAAAAGATGAGAGAATGATATTGAGGCGTTAACTTTGTCTTTAAATTTCCTCTCTGACATTTTATATTTGCACTCTGGTCACTTTTGCCCTATTTGGCAAACACAAAAATAGGAGAAAAACAACTCAAACAATATGAGTATTGTCTTCTGGTAAGTCACCCACATTTTCAGTTTATGGAACCATCCTCATTACCTCTACATCATCCTGCCTCCATTCCTGGGCAGCAACAGCTGCTATAACTTTTATTCTCATTTTATTTTCATTATTGATTTCAGGTATGCCCATTATCTTGTACAAACAGCAGGAGACAGCAAAGATCATACCCTCAGAGGGAGGACAGGGAGAGTGTCATGGTATATTACACTCTGCCTATAGGGGAAAGTTGACATTTAGAAGGATGCCTTTTGGGAAGTGAAGAACCGTGTTTAAAAGAAGCAATCGTCTCTAGAGTCAATAGTCAGAACCTAGAAATTCTGCGAGAATGAAAATGAAACGACTCATTAGCAAATACAAATGTTAGATTTTGGAGCCTGAGGGAACTGTGCTTCCTTGGAGGGTGCAAAGAGCCAAAACCAGTTACATCTACAGAGGTGAACTAACATTTATTTAATACCACTACAGGCCAGATAATTTATACATTATTTTATTTAATGTGTACCACAACGCCGTGGGGCTTGCTAAATGTCACAAAGCCAATAAATGATGGGAGTCATAATTTGAACTCAGGCCTATATTTCTGCTATAAATAGCTGCCTCTAAACTAAAAATCTGCCTTTGGTACCCCAACCCCAGGACAGGGGGTGGGAAGGGAACTGCAGAAGACAGTGTAACTTTTCTCAAGGATTATAATACAACAATATCCTTTTGTCATCTTTTTTTTATGATGTCTACACTTTAAAATAGTGCCAAAGGTGTGGAAAACTCCTTTTGCACAGAAAAAGTAAGCCAGAACAGTGTTTCGAACACAAGATCCCCAAATGACTTTTTTTTTTCTTTTTTAGATAGTTTTACAATAGTCAGGCCAATGAATTATTTGCTTCCCTTTCATCTTACTTGGAAAAAGAGGCTTAGGAAAAAAACTCAGTATGTCAAGGCAACATAAAATGGAATTTTTTTTTAAAAATGAAGAAAGTGTTCAATTATGTTTATTTCAATGGAATTCACTGCCAAAAATACAAAGATTTAACACTGCTTATTCAGCAAGATTAATGATCAGGTAACACAGTTACCTTGAATGGTGGCAGTTAAATGGTAGCTAAAGGGAGAATGCTTACCATTCTATTGTAACAAGTGCATACACTAGACCATATAAAACCACCTATCTTGTCAAATAACTTGACATATTGTTGGTAAAAAAAAAAAAAAAGAAAAGAAAAAAATGCAAATAGTCAGTGTGCTCAGAATATTAGAAAACACCAGGAGAAAAGTGTAGACATAACTATCAGTTCTTTTAAGCAGATAGAATCATTTTTGATGTGTAAGGAAAGCAAAATAATTAAATGATTAAACACATGTTTGTTGACTTTTTAAAAAATATTTCAGAGTACTATTGTTAAGCAGTTTTTATTTAAAGAGTACAATTTCTTCCTGATGTTCTAAAGAAAAAGTTGACCTATAAACAATATGGTGTGGGATTCTGAATATGCATTTAATTTTAGGATATTCAGAAAACACTAATTCAAAAAGATACATGCACCCCAATGTCCACAGCAGCAGCATTATTTATAATAGCCAAGATATGGACTCAACCTATGTTTCCGTCAACAGATGAATGGATAAAGATGTGCCGTGTGTGTGTGTGTGTGTGTGTGTGTATGTATATATAATGGAATAAATGGAATACTGCTGTTGTTTACTTGCTAAGTTGTGTCTGACTCTGTTACCCCATGGACTGTAGCCCGCCAGGCTCCTCTGTCCATGCTCAGGCATAAAAAAGAATGAAATTCTGCCATTTTGCAACAACATGGATAGACCTGGAGGGTATTATGCTCAGTGAAATAAGTTAGAGAAAGCCAAATACTCCATGTTATCATCTACACGTGGAACCTAAAAAAATAAAATAAATGAATGCTTAGAACAGAAACAGACTCATAGATATAGAAAACAAACTGGTGGTTACCAGTGGAGAGAGAGGGAACAGAGTGGGCAAGATAGATGTATGGGATTAAGAGATACAAAGTACTGTGTATAATGAATAAAAAGAATATATTGGACAGCACAGGGAAATATAGCCATTATTTTGTAATTACTGTAAATGAAGTGTAATCTATAAATATATTGAATCACTATGTGGTACACTTGAAACTAATATAATGCTGTATATAAACTATGCTTCAATTAAAATATAATACATAATTTTAGGGTATTCAGGAACCATTAAGTAAGAATTGATAAGTTAATACATTCTTATTAATCTTCTTAATACCTGAACACAAAAGTAGGTCACTTAAGTAAAAGATGTTTGAAAAAGAACATAAGCATCTAAGTCATATTTGCTGAGAAGTAGGCTGGAAGTGCTGCTAGCCGTGAAAAACACCAGGCTAGGTAGGTGTTAAGCAATAATTTCCCAACCTTTACGGTCCAAAATTCTTTACACTTTTCATACCAAAATTCTTTACACGCCAATCCAAGTGGATTCATTCATCATTTTTCAAAGGTCCATGTTGTTTCATCATCGTGGAAGACCCTTCCCCACCCTCCTAGATCCTTCTGCAACCTTAAAAGCTGGCTTTAAAAGTCAGTAGTTCATGATGCTTCTGTTATCATCTTACTGAGAGGCTGTCTGCCTCCCTCCAAACCTGACAGTTACTGTGCATGCTTCCTATGGCACTACTGAGATTTGTCTCTGGGTTACCGTTGGGCTCTTGTTTTACATTTCATTATCAAACTGTAATCTGCCTTATCTTCCCTTCGCATCTCACCTTGTGTTTAGCACAATGCCCTGTGTGCACATGGAACTCTATAGAGGTGAATGAACGCATGATTGGAGCAGTGAACTAAAACCATGCAAACACGGAGCTAATTGGCTGTGCATTCTTAGCTAGTAAGGACTATGCCAGCTATGTTTTACCCTTAGCCGGTTAATATAACAGTTTTTGTTGCTCAGGAGTTAGTCTGTGATGGAGATCTGGAAGTAATACCTCAGGCTTTTCCTCTGGTTAAGCAGAGAGAATCATTTACTTGCTCTCATTTATATATTCATTCATTCATTCCACATTAGTTGACCACCTATGATATGTTAGGTACTAGGCACCAGAAATTAAAAGTAAGCAGAATCACCCTTATCCTTGGATAGTTCATATTGTAGAAGGGGAGACGGTTCCATAAGCCAAAAATTATATGTCACTTGGCTTACAGCAGAGGAAATACAAGTGCTCTAGAAACAACAGGGGAGGGTGTGACTAACTATGGGGCTTGGACATGCTTCACAGAAGCTAATTTCAGGCTAGGCTTGAATATGGGTTTGTGTTAGATGGAAAACAGGAGGAAGAGTATTTCAGGCAGAAGAGTTGGCAAAAGGAACAGAAAGAGGAGTGAGAATCTGGACGTGTAGGGAATGGTGAGCAGCTGTGAATTCCTGGAACAAAAGGATGGGTTCTGGAGGTTAAGGCTATCAGGTAATACTGATGTTACGAGTCCATAAGGGTAGAATATTAAGATAACGGTCCTAGGGTCACAAAAAGTGGTTGTGGATTATTTATTAACTGGATTTCAGATTATCCATCCGTCACTTCTGTCCCTGGGAAAAAACTGAGGGTATCTGTCAGACAGGAAAAAATAATCTAGTAGTCTTTCTAAGAGTGGACATGAGCTTTGAAATCAGGAAAATCCTGCTTCTGGCTTTTGAAAGAAGCAAATGTGAAGGATACAGGCTTGAGGAGGAAATAGGGCACCATATTGCCACTTGGCTACTGGTAAGAGAAGGCTTAGATTCTCTCTAAGAAACAAGAGAGAAAGAAGATGGGGATGGAATCATGTTTGGGTTATCTATTGCTTTATAACAAACCACTAATTTATTATATTTCATGGGTCAGAACTTCAAGCAGTATTTAGCTAGGTGATTCTTCTGTTCCACATAGTACTGCTAAAGGTCACTCAGTGCT